AAGACCTTAATTGTAGAGGATCTTCCACTGCGACAATTATTAATTTTTATCCATAGAAATTTTTCCATAACTTTGAATTCTCGCGCGCTGATTGGTCGAGAACCGATGAACGGACGAATCGATCGCGCATGGAGCCGGCGCGCGCTAGAAACGGTTTTTCTTTTTTTCGGCTTTGTTATGGTAAAAAACAAATCGAAATCGCTTTTCTATGGTCTGAACGCGTCCTATTTCATTATGACGTCACAGTATGTTTACATCGGAAAACGATGCTCAAAAACAGCGGAAATTTGGACCCATTTATATTGTCGACTAAAGTAGAACGTCAGTGAATCGTGTTTTGATATATATCATGTATAAATGATTGCTCATGTACATTTTATTTGAAATGCAGTCACTCTGATCCCTTCTGGCGACCACAATCCTTAGCGTTAAAACAATAGAATGTTTTGATGTGACGTCATAATGAACAAGGGCAATTCAAAATGACGCTACGCTCGTGGTTCCACTTGAGTTTTGATCATTTTCTGACGCCATTTTCATTCTCGATAAGCGTACAGACCATAGAAAAGCGATTTCGATTTGTTAAGTACACTGTCATAGTGTTGACTTAGCTGTTTGGAAATATTGTTCGTCCAAAATTCGATACTATCCTTTTAAGGAATATGAAATCATAATGTTTGACAAACTGAACCACTTAGCATGCATTCAGTGGTGCGAAGTGGTTCAGTAATCTTTGACAAAGGATTCGGGGAACCCCCTAATCGTTCCTGTGCTACCTACGCCGTAAGCTAGAAACTAGAAATAGTTTTCCTTTACAACTCGCTTATTGCAGAGTAATACAGAACTTTTTTTTTCTTATGTTTTTATAATCCATAGAGAGTTAACTGTCATAGTTTTGCCTTTTGTGAAATGTGTTGCTTTTTTGAAATATATTGTTTGTCCAAGATGTGATACGGTCCTTTTTAAGGAGTATGACATCATAATCTTTGGCAAAGGTCTCGGGCAACCCCCTGATCGTTCCTGTGCTGCCTACGCCGAAAGAACTAGAAACTCGCTTATTGCTGAACAGTGTGAGCATTTTCATTATAATTAAATTGTAACTTAGAAACAAATCATCCTTGTTTGTCAATGAGTAGATCTTTATATCTTTCTCAATGATATCTAAGCCGSAATCTGTTATTTCTCCTTGGGTAAAATTAAATGGCTTTAAATAAGGCTCAACTCAACACTATTGACAGTTCAATCAAAGTATAGTATTGTTCATTATTTTCAGTGTATATTCCAATGTTAAATATCACACTCTGAATCCAAACATTATTATTATTATTTTTAATTTTTTTATTTTTTCAACCTTCACTGGCTACCTATTCTACTGCTCCTACTTACATCCAAGAACTTGTTCAAAGATATCGTCCTGCCCGTAAACTTCGTTCGTCATCTCAAGTGTTGCTGTCTGTAAAATCGTACAACCTAAAATCCTGTGGTTATCGTTCGTTTTCTGTTGCTGCTCCCATATTATGGAACTCTCTTCCTGCCTCTATTAGAAACATTACTGACATTGACTCTTTTAAATCATGCCTTAAAACGTATTTTTCAAACTAGCCTTTAATTTGTAATTTATTTGTAATTTGTAATTTTTTATCTGTAATTTTTTCATAATTATCTATATTTTTATTATTTCTCAGCGCTTAGATCTGAGCTGTATAAGCGCTTTAAAAATTACATATCATATTATATTATTATTATTATCATTATTTTACTTCAATGCTAACAAACAAGAAAACATGATAAAAAACATAAGAATAAACTTTGTGATATTTTACAGGCCGTACATTTTGGCGATAAACTAGTTATATTCATTTGCAACGTTGGATTTCAAAATATGAAACTTATTTATATGCCTAGAAATTTGACCTTGAATGCCCTCTCTACTTGAAAGATGCTTGCAAGCACTTTTGAAATCTTAAAAATAGAAGAAGTGATTGTTGCCCCATCACGAATAAAGAAATGGTGTGATATTTCGTTGCTTCTGTAGGTACTGGAGTACAGAAGACGTAATTCAATAGAAACAGAGGCTTAAAAAAATAAGCAGATTCGAAACAATACCCCGAAATACAATGAAACCTAACCAGAATACAATAGATTCCGGTACACACAGAAAGGCCCTAACATTTGTGTTCCATTGATTTGATTTCTTATTTATATCAAGAAAAGAGCAAAAATAAGATATATGGGAAAAAATAACTCTATTTCTGGAACATTCTAGTCTACCTAAKCCTTTGTATTGTGGATATTTGATAACTTTTACGTTTATGCAATATTCACGCTTAGAGCCTTCAAAACAGTCGCAATTAGGTAATGTCCTATGTTTTATAATAGAAAATATTGCTCAAAACCATTATGCTCATGCTTTTCCTGCAAAACATAGTACAACAAAKCATACCAGAACAAGTTTCAAAACAGATCTAAATTGTTTTAAAATATTGCAAACATAGGCCAAATAATTTGTCCACTAAATGCGAAATTATGTCCTTCCCAATGCAACTCAGTAATTATATACACCGAGGAAATAAACACACGAATCCTCAGGGTTTGAAGATTCCACCTTCAAGAACATTTTGCCATATATACTATGGCTTCTCGTATAACAATAGAATGGAAAGCTTTACCAGAGGACAAAGTCAATGCTAAAGGCACAGATTTATTTAGAACAAATCATACCAGAACAAGTTTCAAAACAGATCTAAATTGTTTTAAAATATTGCAAACATAGGCCAAATAATTTGTCCACTAAATGCGAAATTATGTCCTTCCCAATGCAACTCAGTAATTATATACACCGAAGAAATAAACACACGAATCCTCAGGGTTTGAAGATTCCACCTTCAAGAACATTTTGCCATATATACTATGGCTTCTCGTATAACAATAGAATGGAAAGCTTTACCAGAGGACAAAGTCAATGCTAAAGGCACAGATTTATTTAGAACATACAGTCTAACATTATGTTGTCATTATTCCTATATAACCTTATGTATCTTACGAATCCCATTGAATCTTGGAAGAGAGTGGAGCTAAGCCGGAGAAGAAAAGATTATCATAATGAAGCGAAGCATGAAGGGGAAAGGATATGCACCATATGCACCATATGATCCATTATGTATTTTACAAACCCCAGTTAGGATTTCTGCTTTGGAAAAATGAAGATAACCCGGAGAATAGAAGATTCATAAGCGAAACATTAAGGGGAAGGGAGATGGGGCATATGATCCAGTTGTGTTGATAAATGAAAATAATTTGCTTGACATGAAGGATGTAAAATGTCTATACTATATATCAAATATATTTTGCTTTATTTTAATTTTTTCTTATTTTTGATAGAATGAGAAATTTGTGGAAAGAAACTACTGCAGGAATAAAATTACACAAGGAGAAAACAACAAATTATCAATCATTATTTGGCGTTGCAGTGCGAATCAAAGGCCGTGAGCACCCAATAAACTCTGCGTTTATTATATACAACTAAATTTTACTATTTGTGAGCTTTTACAGGCCGTTCTTTGGTGATAAACTAGTTTTATCTATTTGTAAAGTTGAAGTTGAAGATCAAAATATACATATTAAAAAATGCACTTAGATGACGATGACCTCGCTTCTGATTGGTCAATGATCAATAAAACATATTTCAAGGCGGTCACGGCTTTTCGATTCTCAATGTAMACGTTCCGATTAGTTTTCGATTTTTAACCTCCTCAACATATATTCTTTAAAAATACTGCATTTTTTCTTTAATCCGTAAGGTGCAAAAATGAAGCAATAATACCAGGCCTCTTATGTCAAAGATCAGGCTGATTTTAGGTTTCTTGAGATAATTTTATACGTTWATTTTGGGAAAGTCTGGTGGAGCTTTAGTCGCAGCAATCTCTATTTGGGGCAGACATGAAGGCCCAAAATACACTTACAATATGAAATTGTTTTCATAGTTATTTGGTAATAAGCATACCATGGAATATATATGAAATGCTTCCAATATTTCATGTGGTATACTCATGTAAAGTGGGACAACTTTCATATCTTTATTTCTTAGCACTGTGGAACAAGCTGCGCATGGGAAATATATCAAACTAAATGCGCCATGATAATATAAAAAGTATATGCATGAAGCGGTTATGACACTGCAAGATTTTCTAGAATCATCATAGGCATTACAACAAAAGCTAGTACAGTTTTATATTGGGAAGCCTGATGATACAGTACACATCTCTTCAGTTTACATTACTTCATATTATTATATTATTATATTATTATATTACTTCATATGGGTTTCCTATGAATATCAGCAAACTCTCCTGTGAATTTGGCAACTTCCCTACAAGCCTAAAATGATCATCTACAATAACGTGGGCTGATTTAAAACAAAACTGATAGGCATGCATCCTTTTCTAGGATATTTCTTCGATCACGAAAAAAAAGATATACGATCCAGATACAAGTTAAGCCTTAATTTGATTCCTTGCAAGCTTTATATAATGCGTTTAGGAATATAAATAAAGAATAAACGTTATGGAGGAGTTTTTACAGATTGTTCTTTCTGGAGGCAACAGATTTTGCTTTGATGTACTTTTGAACTAAACCTTAATACAAAACACTTCGTGAAAATATACATCACTCATCATTCGTGAACACTAGGCCGTTGTAGATCCCCAGCTTTGTCTATCAATTGTCGAGTTATATAAAGAAGTTATTAAAGCCCTCTAGCGATCTCTTCTATACTTTGTTGGCCTCAATTGTGTGTGTGAAATATGAAGAAGTGTAAACAAAACTCTCCTGTGGTTTCAACTTTTTTCATTGTCTTCTTTACTCACAGATCTCTTGCATTTTCACGGACTGTTACTGAATAAATAAGGAATATTAYATGGTTTTGAGGCTAACGCTGTGCAAAAGAGATAGCTAAAAAGGTCTACTTGCTTCATGGCGGATACGCTTGTGTAGTGGTTTACCTCATGCAGAGTTCTTCTTGCTGGGGAATCATCCTTCACTGGTTTTGAGAAGTTCTGTATAGAAATAAAACATGTCAGTTAAAAAACATCTTCAGGGACAACATACAGGTCATYCTGAAGATTTTTCGTATCTTTGATAAAGCTATATGTAGCTGATTCGTAGCACCACGTGTTTCACATTTGCTGCTTTGGATCTATGTATTTGTCTTGAAATTTGCTTAAAAAATTGCCTTCAAAGAAGGAAATGCCCCCATTTAAAGTAGTATGTTTGTAAAATAATTACCATTGTCTCTGTATTTGAAAGTTCTTAGCTGGAAAGCAATAAAACGCAATTCCAATATGGCGTTTGAATGAATGTCCCAATGCGCAAGGTCGAGCGATTGTAATACATAAACATGAATTTGTATTTCCGCATAAAAAAAAAAAACTTTATTTTAATCACTAGTGCAATCTTCATTCCTCACAAATATCTTATGCAGAAGGCAAAATGGGGCTTGCAAAGATAACTCAACCATTTGAATCGAGAATTAAAAAAAAATCAACAAATTTATCAATTTCGAGAATAACATATGTTTTGAAAATGAGAAATGATAAAGCTCCTCGGATTTTCGAAATTGAAAGAAAGTTAAGTAAGAAAGACAGTCTCGCCATACATTTCTTTATATTTTTTTTTCCTTTTGAACTTCTGACTTTCATAAAGTTTTAACCGATGTTCAAGCATGGCAAATGAAGTAATTTAATATGAGGCATTGCTTTTCAGTAGTAGTAATAATCTTTACATGGCGCACAATTTCTTAGTCAATGGTCCAATGGTTTACTCTAAAATTGAAAAGACTGAGCACAAACAATTTTAACAATTGTTACTTTCTGAACCACCTTGATKCCCTTAAACATTGAGTAATTTATTCCAACAATTTTAAAATCACAAAAAACTCGAGCTGCGTTGAGTATAAAAAAAAACAGAGATACATAGCGACAAGTTGTTGTTTTCTAGGTATATGTTTGTATTATATATTTGAAACTTATTATTTTTCAGCCCAGAAATTCATGAACACGGGAAAAGCATATTTTTGATTTTTCAGTTGTGGATCTAAACCTAGAAGTACTTTATACCATGAAATGATAGTTGTGTGTAAAAAAATCAATTATATGCCATTTTTCTAGTCAAAAGTTGATTAAGGAAAGCCATTATAAACTTTGCTTAACTACAAGATTGCTATATTCCTATCTTTGCTATTCTAAATCTTTATTTATAACATTAATAAAAAAAGAAATATTTTTTACTTACTTTATGCAATTTAAGAATCGMTTTCTCCAGTCAATGAAATGAATTCGAAGTTATTCGTTCATACATTGTTCTTCGTTCATCTTGCGGGTGAAAAGACGGTTTGGTTTTGTGAACTTAAGGTAAAATAAAATTTCACCGTTTTATCTAAAGCGACGGACTCAGCCACTTGAACGATATGACATATCACTATATTTTGCATTGTACAACATGTAGTAATAATACGAGTTCCCATTGTAGTTTGGTGTCGATTTGTTTTTGTCTTAATAGCTAAAGCTCTTTTAGGCTGCTTCGTTTGTGATCGATCACAATTTTTTTCTGCTCCTCAAAGTATCCTGAAACTGAATTTCAAGATTAAATAATGAGCTTTCGCACCACTTGATATGATTGACGTATGTCATCGCTCAAAAGAAATAATCAATATATTTATCAAAACAATTTCCTCAATGTTGATATCATCAAACATTTTGTCATCTTAAAGKTTTTAAAATTGGAAAAGGACTTTCCAAGGGATTAGGATATATGTGCTCTTATAATCATTGGACACATTTCATGGATTATAATTTTTTTTTCATGGTTGAAATATCATTTGAATATTAGTATTCATAGACGATATTACAGTTGAAAAATTCATCTGAAACAACACTTGCAAGTCGATTGATTTTATGTGAAGCTGAGAAATTATTATTTATCATATTGGTGAATTTTCTCTTTCGGTATTTTGAGTTAGAGGACGTAAGTGGTAATGAAGTCAAACAGTTTTTAAAGTTTTTCATATTAAGCTAATTTTTTTTATTTACTAAATAAATATTGAGATATTATATTCCTAATGTAAGACTGCTCAAAGAATACCCGGATTACCAAATAAGTTTTATGAAATAATTGTTTTGTTAGTGATTGCATCATTTACAATTCAAATCTTATGTTGTCTCGCATAAATTCTGCCTTAGGGTCCCTTTGTGGTATCATGTGACCCAAGAGATGCAAGCATGAGGCGATAGTTCGGCATTCAGTCTTTTCAGCAGGATAGTTGACTGCTTTGTAGGACGATATTTTATGACTTTGTACTCTTCCTCATACACTCTCGCATTCATTTTGCTTGCAATTAAATGCTCCCGTGGAAAATTTGTAATTGACCTTGCTTGGGGTTCATAAAAATCACAAAAATCTGATGTCTACAGATAATTAGCCGAGAACTAGCAAATCATTTGTTGACAGTAGGTTTCCGTTAAAATGAATTTATTTTACAYTGATTAACATGATATTTAAACAGAATCACATGTCCCCACATCGTAAATTCTTCACTTGCAATGCATGTTAGAAAGTGCCAAACCAAATATTAATAAATGGTATAAATCGCAAATACTGTACTTAAGAATTCAAAGCGAACAACCGCATATTCTCTTACGCAAAGACCTTACCGAAAACCAAAGAGAGCACGAGGAAATGTCGTCGTTATTACAAGAGCCTTGAAAAATTGCATTTTGCACGAGTAACCTGTATTCTCAAAAGACCTAAGGTTTAAGCCTTTTGGAAACACAGGGTTAGCCTAAACTCAAGGAAAATGTAATTTGTTATAGCTATTGTGCACTATTGTACGTGCTTTCTTTGGTTGGGTTAAGTCTTTGGATAAGAAAATCTGATGTCAAAACTGAACACTATACCATAAAATATAGGGTTTGATGACTTGATTTGATTTTGATGAGTTGATTTGTTTGGTTGGAAGCTGTACTGCAAGAAGTCGAGAAATGCGTTGTTTCGCGTTTTTTTTCAGCCTTTTTTAGTCACTTCTCTACGGACATTATTAAGTTTGTAGGTAGCGAAGGAGCTTAGTTGCTGAAAGAATCCAGCTTGGTGTGCAGTGACTTTTTAAACGACTTTTTTTTTCACGGTTGATTCGAATAACTTGGACCTTCGCTTAAGGAGAATCACTTAAAAGATCGTCTAAAGGCAAATCCTTGGAGCTGCCACAGTAATTTTTGGAGTGCATCACTATTCCTTTGGAAGCGTTTTTACGTTTGTTTGAAGTTTTGAGACAAAGCATAAATGACGTTTGGCGTTAGCAATGAAAGTGATTCTAAATAAGTCTATACGCACGACTGTTTGAATATTTTTCTCGTGCTAATGTTTTGATCAGACACGTGGCTGACCATCCGACTCCCTGGCGCTTCCATTGCAAATTTTTGTCTCAGAGATTTTTAAAAATATAAGCTAGATATTAGCCGATAACAAAACGAGCAGGGGCCTGGGACTGAAAATTTTAAAAGTACTACAATCTTACAGAAATCTGTTGTTGATAGATAAAGCACATATAGATTAACTAAACTTTAAAGTTTGAGCAAGTTTAAGTCATTAGAATTGGGAATATATTTTTTTTTTTTTAATTTCGAAAATTACAAAGAATGTATGTTTGGCTGGACGCTTTGGCTGGACACCATACATTTCTTTGTAATTTTGGCATGGTTTGAATGTCCATAACTTTATTGCTATAAGCTCAAACATCATGAAACTTAGTCAATGAGCCTTTTATAAGGTTCTCTTTCACATTATGGGGTTCTTTTTTCTGGAACCATTATTTAACTAGATTTGGAAGTTCGTACCCAGTCCCTTTTTCGTTTTGTTATCGCCCAATTGATCTACTGCATGAGATGACCAAAATAGGACAATACCTTCTTCCAACTGCAATCTATTTTAACGCGTGTTTGTTGGAAGGTCTATATAATCATGTCGGAGAATGATGAATTAAGGCTTTACGGCGGGGTTATTTCAAACAATATACTTCTGAATCTTTTATGTCACTACTTGATTTTTAATGCATTTGGGGATAGGTTTCTAAGGAAAACTTAAGAAATCCACCATGTTCTGTCACAAACATATCCTGCAATGCAGTGCGTATACGGTAAGTGACGTAAAAGGTTCAGAGGTTTATTGTTTTAGACACAACTTCATGTTTTTTTGCCTGTGGCAAGTTTTAATACATTCTCAATTGAGCTACATTTTTTCTAATCTACACAATACTCCCTGTTCCTACTATAATGAACTGTTATATTAGCTACTCCATCTAAGAGTCTAGTTTCTTTTCGTTTTATTGGGTATGTGTCCATTCTAGGAAATCAAGATTTAGCCTTTAACGAAGAAAAGATCATCCTGAAAATTTATCTCCACATCGTCTCTCTTCAATCTAATCTTCATTGTGAAGTAACCTTTGGTAGGTGCAGTCAGGGTCCAGGAAACTGTTTTCACGCCCCTAGATAAAGTTATGTCCGTATAATTTGGATTTATGATCTCATCGTTGTCTCCGAAATCGGCTATGAATTTCATTTGAAACGACATGGGCAGGTCCTTGGCGTAGCCAATGGATGCTCTATATTGGAACTTTTTCCCTGCTTCAGGGAAATATTTCTGTTTTTCCATGAGAGACTTGATGACTGCAATCTTGGGCTGAATGACGCGTGACTCTCTTGTAAAATCGAACCCTGATAGAGTTTTGCCACGCATAGATATTTTGAAATGTTCTTCTGAAAGTGGATCCTTAGATTCGTAGGTGTAGATATCATTGTTTTGAGACAGGAGTATCCAGTCATTGGGAAGTGACAAGGAATTCTTATTCAACCGAGATATGCTTGGAACTTTAATTTCGACTTTGGCTTTCTCTCCTAAAGTTAGAATCAAATTAGTAGTTGATCAAGAATGATTCTATTTGATTATATTTTAATGAGAGAGAAAGAAGGGCTGTTTCCAAATAACCAGAGACTAGACTAAGGTGTAGATGCCCCTCCTCGAACTCATACATCCAGATCATCATTAGGTAGCAAGACACAATTGTTTAAATTCGGAGAGGGAGATGAATTTTGCTAGCTGAACTATAGAAAGAAAACTCACGAGAATCAATAAATGAGGAAATGAAGAACACATAACCWACCTATCAAAGGATCATCTATATGGGTTGCACTCCTCATGAAATGGCAATCCAAGGTGATACCCAACTTTGTTTGTGACTKAACCTGAATGTAAACACAATACGTAATTACGTATTATGAATTCTCTAGCCATGGGTCCCTCAAAATGCAAAATCCCAAAATCTGATGTAAATCAGTTGAATAGTAAACGAGTTACAGCCTTTGTAATATACTGAAATTTCCAATTAATTATATGTTTTGGATCCAGCGAAAGTGTCCTAAAAATGGTCGAAATTCGGACACAAAATTCGTGCATCCTGGAATTACGAAGACACGTGCATGTAGAATCTTTTCAACGGTTCAGTGCCTATATGTACAAGCTCTGGAGTTCGTACGAGTTTTATGTACAATGTAGAAGTGAAAATATGTCATCCAAAGAAAAGATTTATAACTGATATGATAGAAAAATAAAAAAGACTTTAAACAAAAGCAACTTACCTGAAACTTCAAATCTGCAGCTTTAGATCTCAAACGCCACGTTCCTCTTGCTGGTCTTTTAATGGTCCAAAGTAACTTGACACCGTTCTTTATATCGGAATTTCTTCGGGATTTTCCGGGATTTAGCAGAACTGCCTCAGCATCTTTAACTTCAACTTCAAGAGTTCCCTCATGCGCGATATCATCGATATAAAAGGTTTTGTCATATTTTTTAGTTCCTCGTTTTCTGTTGTTCCTATTACTTGCAACGATTGCAGTACCGTCAAGACTTCCCATKATCATCTGCTCTAGATGTTTCATTGATGAACCCTTTCTTAATGGTAGAATTAATCCCCCGGTAGCCTCTGCTATTACCCTGTAAGATGATTTTGTTTGTGGTCCACAAAAAGGCTTGGATAGGAAAACGTTGACAGGAATCTTATTTTTCTGGGCATGATATATGGCGTTATCTGGGGTAAAATCTCCCAATGCATATGGAGGTGCGTCAGTAAATACATACATAGGAGAACCACGTTGTGGATGGCCATTGGTGATCGCTCTGATAATCCCGGTGTATGTTGGTTCTTGGCAGTCAGCTTTTTTTTCCCTACGATGCTCACGTTTGACAAGTCTATCAAGGGCGTTTATGAATTCCTTGCGATCGTCGAAGTTTTGAACGTCACCAACGAAATCCTTACTTCCGCTTTCTGAGAAAGAATGATTAGCAACAGTGCACTTAGCTTTATAAAAAAAGATGTAGCAACAGCGAGCTGGGCACAATCTAAAAAAGGGCATGTGAAAAGAAATGAGTTTCGATTGATTTATGGAATGTGCAATATTTCAAGTTCCAATCCGTGAGCCTTGCCKAAAATAAAAGACCTCCTAGATCATTTTCCATTTATGCAAACTTTGCATAGGTGACAATATTTTGATAAAAAGAAAAGTTCTAATCGGCTAAAGACTTGCAATGTACGTCATCAACCAGTTGAAATCTTGTGGAAACAGGAACTTTCCTATCTAAGAGCTCATCTAAGGATTCAACTGCGAAATGAAAATACAACGAACAATAAAACTTTAAGTATAAYTTACTCGCGGTTGGATTGCGTTTATACCAACTCATGAAGCCGGATTACCGACATTTGTCCAAGACTGGGATGACTGATGTTTAATGTCCCATTRTTTTAATACCCGGTTGTTATGCGTTGTTCATAGAACGAGAGTGMGTCTTTTATCGGGATATAAAGATTCGAGCCGCTGGCGATAGAAAAAAACGCACTCGAGTTCTATAATGGCGGAATAAACCGCTTGGGATGGTTGGGAGAACACTCGACGTCTCGTGATTTACAGATCTTTTCTCGTGTTCTCCCAACCATCCAGCGCAATGTATTTCGGCGTTTAACCGCTCCAAGCTATCGCTTATTGCTTAAGTAAACTAGAAAAATACAATGCATACTAGAAGAGAATGTCGACAGGACGTAGTCGACATTGGCGATCGATGTATATTCAGCAATATCTTTAACAATCTCTGTAGCTTGAGGGATCTCTTTCCTCATGCTTCCACTGATGTCGATTACAAAGATCAAGGTAACTTTACCATCTACGTTTAGCAATTTCTATTGATAGAAAATGTCATTAATAGGTCATTATTTCGCAGTTTTCATTAGTAGTTTTGTAATAACTTTGATCATCCTTTTTAAAATCCCTGTCAAAATCCCTGTTTCATAGTGGTTCACACTCCCGCACACCTAACATTTTTAAACGGGGTTTTGACCAATTTAATCAACCTCGATTTTCCTAAATTAAAGGGACACTGTCAATGGATGACATGCGCGAGTAAACTTGAAAACACTAGGCTACTGTTTTCAAGTTTATGACTCCAAGTTGGCGCGACATAAATTAGATCGTAAACGTAAACAGATCTAGAATATTCCAAAGTGTGTGAAAAGCACCACAAAATGATTTCCCTCGAAGGTTATACTTTCAAAGTCCGCTAGAGGTGAGACTGTTACTGCGCATGTCATCCATTGACATTGTCCCTTTAAACAGAAAATGTTGTACTTGGTTGGAAAACTTTAAATAATGTATTTTTTTTTTAATTTACAATTAACTGTTTTTTTAAATAGCAGTTTTATGGTAGAAAAAAAATCACACAAAGCTGATTTTTGCCAGATTCCGATGGCAGAAAAACCAAAAATACTGCGTTTAACTGTAGGATTTAGCAAACAATATATCTTAAAAGAAAGGAAATTCTTCGAGCCGATTTTGAGAAAAACTATCAAACAYCTATTTGTTGCGTTTTTGTTAGGTTAAAATATATCAATCCAATTAAAACTTTGCAGCAAGGTTACCCAAATAGCGATGAAATAACTCAGTTAAGTARAGAAAAAATTTTCGACAGCAGTTTTGAATTGATTGGAAAAGGCTAGAACCATATTYTTTTCATATTAGCTATAAAACTYGTTGTAAAATTGAGCTTCAGACATTTCAATTTTATCTTTAATATGGGCGAATTGTAAGCGTGTTCGTAAAATCACAAAAACGCAACATGTTTTATCGTTTTTCTCAAAATCGGCTCGAAGAATTACCTTGGTTTTGAGATATATTATTTTCTATATCCTAAAGTTAAACTCAGTACTTTTTGTTTTTCTAGGTGTCATCATCGAAATCTGCCCAYCATAAAACTTCTATWTTGCAGTAAATTAAGAAAAAAAAAAGGTTTTTAAAGTTTTCCTACCAAGTACATCAAATTCTGCTTATTTTAGGAAAATCGAGTCAATAGATTAAGTTGGTCAAATGGCCGTTTAAAAATGTTAGGTTTGCGGAAGTGCAACARCTATGAAACTCCTTAATTCCTTATATAGTCATGGTTTTTGATAGCAAATGCAACTAGTTTTGAATATTGCGTGAGCTAAAATAATCCCAGCAGTCAAAAGTTGAAAATTTTATTGCTCCGTAATGCAACAAAAATGACAYATTATTCTGTTGCAATCTTGGAGGTGCTAAAAGTCCTTTTGTATTGCCCTACTAAGGCAAGCTCAGGTATTGTATAGTTTTAGTTACAAATAAAATTACAGATAAAGCAACATTTTACAAAGTTTGCAGATTTTATGTAACTTCTGCAAATATATGTAGATTGAATAGTTTACAATGTACATTTACAGACTCTGTACATTGATCAGATTTTCCATTGTTAACTTATGAAATATAGCTGCATGCCATATATAAAATATATGATTACCTTAAATCCTTCATCGCCGATTTCATCTCTCAGTTCTCGGGAAATGTCTGTATAATCGCATGTTTTCTGTCGAGCAAGGAGTATCCCTAAAAAGGTTCTAGCATGTTTGGATTGACCTGATGAATTATCGGTGGATTGAAGAAAATATTTAATTTTCTTTATTAGGAAATCGTTGGTGACGTCTGAAGAAGACGGTTGAGACTCAGTATCACTCATAGCTATAGAAGTAACAGAAAATATACAATAAATGGATTCTCAACACAGAAGGTTTTTTTCGTCTCTTAGGATTTGGAATTCCTCTTCTTTTTTGGGTCTGCACAAAATCAAGCATGTGATCCTGTATTGTGTACTACCATTAAAATACAATATATTGAGGAGAAAGCGAGTTTTCAGCTGTACAGCTCAAAAGAAAGAACAAGAAAAAGCGTTGGATCTGTTTGCTTGCTTGCGGTTCGCTGCGGGTTCGTGGTCTGAATCAATTGACATTTTCGGATTATATTGAGTTGATCCAAGCGACAGAACCCGCGCAAAAGTTAGTGGTGATGGAAGTGCGAACTGCACGTGAATTAAGTGCTGCCGGTTGGATTTTATCGCAACAAAGGATCCRTCTGAAGTAGGCCTAAGATCGTCACTCAACCGATCTATTAGCTCTATTAGTCRAGAAATTTCATGTCTTCAGTTTCCCTATTTTCTTTGCTTTTCGTTTTGTTGGTTGCCTAGCACGTTCGTATTGTATAAAAATAAATTAGCATGTGCCAGACGATCAGTTTGCAGAAGAAACGAAGTAAGATGGCTGAAACGCTCTAATCCACAATGAAAGCTGGTTCCCTTACCCGCGTGCTGAGGGTATATTCATTCCTGCAGATTCGCTTTGGTCTAATTTATTTCCTCAGTCAAATACTAACTGTAAACAACTTCTTCGGAAACAGCCAATGAAGAAATTGTCTTGCATGCATTCTAAATCGCGCTAGTTTCCGACGTATGCCTTAACACAAGATTAGAACTTATTCTATACCTACCTTCCATCACCTCTGAAAAAGCTGCAACCAGATGATTGTTGTTGACCGAAATGCTGAGGTTCAGGCTGTGAAGGAGTTGCAGTAGAATACCGTCGAAGCTGCATGGCTCTAGAAAAATTACGAGTCTGTATATGAATAACCCGCTTTAAGAACCCTTTTAAGCAGCATTAAATGATAGAGAATAAAAGGAATCATATATAAGATACTGAATTGTTATATTGGTAAATTATTTTCACTGTTTTCTCGCTCTCTTATTGGACGATTCGGTGTCACGTGTCCTGAGCTAAAATCAACTGTTTTACTGATCGGTCAACAGTTTGACGATTGCTGACCGCTTGTCCATTGGTGAGGAAAGGCAATTTAAACGCTTAACATCTTGCTCGGCGTACCTCGGGAAACATTGAGATTCTCGGGAAACAAAACTAACCGTTTCCCTTGGGAACAGTCATTAAGTGTATAATAGTTTCGACGATCTTGAAGATTAACTGAGAAGTTTTATCAAGACAATGAAAGACTTGCTGAAGTCGCAGCGGCGTGAATTAGCAATCTCTGTTAACAAARGGCTCGCAAAATTAATAGCTATCGAGCAAGCTATCAAAGAGGTGACTACGAATAATAACAAGGCAAAAGGGATTTAATTTCTTAAAATATCTGAGTCTTCATTGTTTTATTTTAATATTATGCCCCAAGTTTTTACAGGTCAGCAATAGGAATTCTAAGTAGCACTTCGATCTAGCATAACCCAACTTAGCACTCTTGAGCATCTAACGTTCTAAAAAGTGGAAAGTATAAACGATTTAATTTATAAAAGCAACTTTGTTTGCCCCTGGAAGCCCATGTGTACGATCAATGATCGTCTAGTTGTTCTTTTTTCCCTGAACTGCGTCCTCAGTTCTTTCGTGCATATCGACATTGGACTATTAAAACTTGCCAAATACGTTTTTGGTCACAAGGGTTTTAAAGAAAGTTAAGAAAATGAAGTCATTMATTCTTTTTTCATTTGTACTTTGAKATCAATATTTATAAAATGCAGCGACTWTTTTTWMSKTYKYARKTTTTTTTYTTYYTTYYTTYTTTWWTAATA